CGTCGACTTCACACCAAAAGAATCCGAGGATCCAAGGAACGAATCCCAGCCCCAGCCAATACAGCGCAATGTGTCTCCTCAGCATTGTAACACATATGCGCACCCCATAATATTTGGGGGAACTTCCCCTCTGACCGTGCGCCAATCGGACAGTCGGACAATAGGTACTGGGCGACCGGGCGTCAATCGGACAGTCCGACGGGAGGTCTCGGGCACCAATCGGGCTGTCCGATTCGGACCGAAGTCGGACTTCTCCGTTTGACATCCGAATTTCAAACGTTTCTGAACATAAATTGAGCCATCCGAAACCGTCCGGAACACATTAGTCGAAGTAAAAACGGAGCATGTCCGCTTCCGATATCTTTTGGAGCTGTTCGTTCTCACAAGGAAAGACCATCGAAGATGTCAGGGAGTAACTGCAGAAAACTTTATTTCGTCTCCTAGAGAGCTGATGGGCCGAAAGTCTCTGCGTGAACCTTGGGCGCGGCGTACTGTACCCTTTTAATTAGAACCAGTGTCTCGCATGCCTCAATCCCAACTAAACAGCGAGGTTCGTGATTTGTGAGTAGAAAATCACAGTACTCATGACTTCCGTGTTGTGTGTCTATTTTCAGTCTGACAATGCCCTCTGCGAGGTAAATGTTTTCACCAAACCCTTTCACGAGAGTGCTGGTAGGATCTACAATATAGTTCCTTTTAAAAGCCGCAAAGTCTGCAATGGGCAAGATATTCATTTCAGATCCAGGATCTAACTTAAACCCTACAAGGTGTTCCCCCTGAACTTTTACTACTTCAGTATATTCTTTGCGTGGCCTGGCCTGGCTTTTTCTCCAAATGTTGTAGCTCCGTTTACAATCCTACTGCCAGAGTGTGGCCATTCGGCTGCTCCTTATTCCAAGGGCCATTCCATAAGGCATCTTCCTCGGCAGTAGTCAGGGTGTGGACGGACTTGCTGGCCGCTGGTGTCCTGAGGTGTCTTTTTGCAGGCAATTGCAAAGTGGTTTCAACCCTTGCAGCTGTGGCAAGTCTACCCATGGGCCGGGCAGTTCCCAGTCTCGTGCTCTCGACCACATTTCCAGTATGTATAGGTCTCTACAGTCTCACTCACTGGAGTGCGGGCTGGAAACACCTTCCACGGATGACGACAAAGATGCAACAAAGTAGATCGCTGCGACCGGGAGTCGAACACGGACCCCGCTCGCAGCTTTCAGCGCGC